CAAACGATCTAGGAGTTGAATTTGATATTTAACTCATACATTAACGGGGAACATCCCCTTAAAATTGCTGCTCTCCAGCTTTTCTAGTTTCCGAGTTACCAGTTCTCCCGCCAAAACTTTTATGTGCTGTTACGTAAGGTTAGACTATGTGAAAGTTTGTGCCACATTCCTGGAATAGTTCATGGCCGTAGAACCCACTGACAAAATTTCGGCGTCAGAGCTTGCCTAGTTGCCGAGCTGAAATGCCCGGACACACGCACACATAAAACACAAGCACGCGCATGCACACAAACCATTTGCATAAATAGGCAAAAACGCATAATGATATGTGCATAAAAAAATTTCAGCTTTTCAGCTTTGTAGTTCCCGGTATGGGAAAATATGAACAAAAGTGATTGTAAAAAATCGGAGGGGATATTTTATGAGAAAAATTCGAAGTGGTGAGTCCTCAGAATTTTTAGAATCCGCTCTTAAGTCGGTTTGGTTAGCACAAGGAAGGACAAAAGTGTATATAACCAGCCCACGATTTAGTACTTTGACTACTGTAATTCTCGGAATGTTCTCCAAATGCAAAGTTGATAACTTCCCCGGTTGCTCTGTTCAGTGCTACATCGTCTAGTGGTCGGTCTGTTGGCGGTCCGTACATTCGTTTTATCCCCAAAGGGGTTATCGAATCAAGAATTCTCTAAATGCAAGCATATGACAGTGCTTGAACCTTTCCTCGATATCGCTTGTACATATTGGGTATCAGCACATTGGACTACGCTGAGGTAATGATCGACAAGACGGACTAATTCACGATGCAATTTAAATTTCAGTTGGACAGAAGGCAATATTTTACACATGGAACAAATAGATCTGGATGTAACAACGGCACCACAACAAATGAAGCTACTTTTTACGTTAATACTGGAAGAGGCAAAACGATTTCGGCAACTTTTACAGTGGGATCCACCATCTTTCTCAGCTCTACTGGCTCTTCAGTTTCTCAACAAAAAAGGTTAGGTGTTTCAGAAATATCTTTTTGTCATCCACGGGAAAGGAAATTGTGAAGTATAGGACATCGTCGTGACTATGCGAGAAAATCATTGTCAAATCCCACTCCGTATGCGAAATTACTCGGAAAGTAGCTTAAGAGTAGCAAGTATCAAAATTCACTGTTGGCAAGGCTGTCAGCGGCTTCCTCCTTCATAGGCTGCTTACAAACAAACTGATGGCGGGGTTGACTTCCTGGCATATATTGACACCAACTTACCATCAAGACGAGTGTACGAACCAGAGAGGGTTTGGCTGTCCCCGCGAGGCAGTAAAATCTTATAGAAAAAACAGTTCTCAGTTTTGCTGCTAGAGTAAGCAAAGCAGTTAATTGGGTAATCAAATTCACGAGCCCAGCGGAAACAGCAGTCGATTACTAGGTGTAGCATGGAGCAAACGAGTTCGATATAGCTACATGCTGCGCATTTCTGCATATCAGTAGAATCGTTGGATTCATGCAGATGGCAGGGGAGAGAGGAATCTAACAAATTCTCAAATTTCGGTAGTACTCGACTGATTTTCTGAGAAGTTTGATGTCTTAACGAAATGTATATTTGATTTAAGAATATGCCGGCGAACCGCTCAGTTCGGATGCAGCAGTGGACAAATTACGTGGCACAATAACAAGTGCACTCAAGGATCATTGCTGTGGCTCCTCTCCACCACACACGAAAAAATTACAAACGATCATTGCTCAAGTAAGTTAATAAGTTGGTACAGAAAGTAAATCAAAAAACAATATTTCCTCCGTATTCACTGTTTATGAGAGAGAGGGACTTGCGAAATAGTCCGAAGAGAAGCAAATGCCAACAGCAGCCACCTGTTGGCAAGGTTTTCGACAGTCCCCTCTTTCAAGGACTGATTACAAGCAAGCTGATGATGAGTCTGATTTCCTGGTATACCAAAATATCAGTTGACCATCTAAAAGAATGAAGAAGTAGAGGGGTTGTTTGTCCCACTGGCAAAACCGAGCCCTCGTCCTACTGTACAACAAACAGTGCTGAAAAGTAAATAATAATTGGCCAACGCACGGGCTGCTCGTGCGAAGATGCATTTTTTACACAGCTTTCCGCAGATTTGCGTCGCTAATGGCATTGGTTGTTCTGGCAGATGCTTCTAGCTAAAAGAATTTCA